GCCACTGTGGAAGTGACACTAGTAAGTCCTTAAAAAGGTGTGTAATCCAAAGAAGCTCAGCGACAGTATGTCCAAGGGCACGATATTCAGACTCATAGCTAGAACAAAAGATTGTGGATTGCTTCTTAGCACTCCAATAAACCAAATTTCCACCAAGATAGATGGAATAACCAGAGATAGACCGACAAGTATCAGGGCATCCTGCCCAATCAGCATCAGAGCTATTGTTGGAGCATGCAGAAATTGACTGACAGAGTTGATAGCATGAGCAATATTTGGGCACATGATAGTCAAGTATTAAAGGGTGCCAACTAGAGATCTGTAAAGAGTGGGATTTGAGAAAAGTGTACCCTTTACAGACAGGTGCTGAGAAACAACCATAGGGGTATGGACTGGTTTGCTATCAAGTAACTGAGCTGGAGTAAGAATAACCCGTGCATATTTCAGATGACTGATAAATAGGCCATTTGTAGTTGTTGAGGCTTCAAGGCCAAGGAAGTAGCTAAGATGACCTAAATCCTCAGTAGCAAACTCAGAATTAATTTTGCAAGTGAATCTATGGATGAGAGATGGATTGTTGCCAGTGATAATAATATCATCAACATAGAGGAGCAAATAAATGATATCAAAGTGCTTATGGAAGACAAATAGCAAAGTGTCAGCTCGACTACAAGAAAAAAATCCAAGTTGAGTAAGGAAGGAACTGAAGCGTTGGAACCAAGCACGAGGTGCTTGCTTTAGACCATAGATAGCTTTTTTCAACTATCAGACATGATTGGGAAAGTGTGGATCAATATATCCGGGAGATTGCTCTATGTAAACTTGCTCAGTAAGAGTATCATTGAGAAACGTATTCTTAACATCAAGCTGGCGAAGGGGTCATTTGTTAGACACAGCAATAGAGAGTACAACGCGAACAGTGGAAACCTTAATAACAGGACTAAAGGTATCCTTGTAGTCAAGACCAGGTACCTGTGTATAACCCTTAGCAACAAGATGAGCTTTGAAATGCTCGATGGATCCATCAGACAAAAATTTGGTCCTGACTACCCATTTGGAGCCCATAATGTTGGTGTTAACAGGCTTAGGGACCAAAATCCAGGTACGGTTGTTTTGCAAGGCTTGAAGTTCTTCATCCATGGGAGCAAGTCACACTAGATTCTTTGCAGCAGATTTGAAACCTTTAGGCTCAGTAGAGGTAAGAAGAGCACAAAGAAGACCAGAAGAACCTAAGGTACCAATATTAGCCGGATGGCGAGTTTTGAAAATACCAGCCTTAGCTCAGGTAGTCATAGTGTGAGAGCCTAATGGAGGTGCCGAAACTGGAGTTGGAGTTGGAGTTGGAGTGAGATCATAGACTTGAGGAACGGTGTTAGACTCAACAGGGGATTGTCTAGGGGTCGAGTGGACCAAAGTAGAACCTGCATTAGAGATAGCAACCTACACAGACTTATCCACTGGGTCAGTACAAATAACACACGGGTTAGATCCGGATAGAGTAACGGAAGGAGGACGGTGCACAAGGGGAGATGGTTTTGTATGGGATGAGACAAGCTCAAGAAAATTGGAAAAAATGGAGAGATGAGAGAGGTTGAGCGTGAGAGGTTTCTGAAGAGGGAAAGTGATGTTCATCAAATTGTGTATGTCGAGTGATGTATATTCTAAAGGTGGTAGGATCTAGGCAACGAAATCCTTTATAGGAGGGACTATATCCTAAAAAAATGCATAGAATGCTGCGAGGAAAAAATTTGTTAGGCATAAAATCACGTAAACAAGGATAAACACGATAGCCAAAAGGATGGAAATTTTCACAATTCGGAGAGAAACCATGCAAAAGCTCAAAAGGAGACTAAACCATGCAAAAGCTCAAAAGGAGACTTACTTCCAAGAAGTGGTGTGGGTAAGCGATTGATAATGTAGACTGCAATGCTGAAGGCGTCAACCCAGAAACGAGGAAAAAGATGAGAGTGAAAAATAAGAGTCAGGCCAATCTCAGTCACATGACGATGTTTCCTTTTGACGCAACCATTTTGAGCGGGTGTGTATGGGTAAGATAATTTTTGATGGATGCCAGAGGTGCGAAGATGTGCTTGGAAACGATTACTAGTGAATTCTCCACTGCCATCGCTTTGAAAAATTTTTATTCGTGCAGAATATTGATCTTCCACAAATTTTTGAAATTGAAGGAAAATATTGTAAAAGTCGAATTTTAAATGCAAAGGGTATAGCCAAGTGAAGTGAGAAAAGTCATCAATAAAGACAATATAGTAGACAAACCTTGAAGTGAATTCAACGGGAGAGGGGCCCCATATGTCACAATGAATTAAATCTAACACATGAGATGATCGTTTGTCATTACGTTAAGGTAAACGATGATTTTTTGCAATTTGACATGCATTACAAAGCATTGGAGAAGGCAATGGAGATGTAAGATAAAAATGACCTTGCTTATTATAATGGAATGGTTTACATGTCCAAGGCGAGCATGCCATAAATTATATGAGGCATGTAACGACTTTCTATTAAGAACAGAAATAAATTTGGGATATCCACGCTCCAGCACATATAATCCACCATCTTGTTTACCGATTGCCACCACCCTTCCCGTTTGATGATTTTGAACAGTGAAAGAGTTATTAGTAAAAGTGACGGATAGAGGAAAATCAGAAGTTAATTTACTAATGGACAAAAGATTTTTAGTTAAACAAGGAACGTTTAAAACATCAAGTAAATGAAGATTTTGATTGGGAGAGACGGTACCAGTGTGAGTTATAGGTAGGGAAGCACAATTTCCTACAATTACACAATCCTTACCGGTGTAATTATTTGAGCGATCCAGAATGGATGGATTGGTAGTTATGTGGGCTGAAGCTCCAGTGTCCAAGTACTAGTCTGAGGCCTCATTTTCAGACATTGAGCACGATTTATTGAAAGCCTCAGCAAGGTGAGCAGATTTGTCTTGCCGAGTGTACCTCTGGTCACAACGGTCTGCATAGTGTACTTCGGTCCGAAAAACTTGACATCGTGGGGGACGGCGTCTCTGGTTGGAGAAGCTCCATCCACTGCCACGATTGGAGAAGCCCTGATTTCTATTGCGTCCATGATTGGTGCGTGAGGGTTGGCTGTAGTGACTCACACGATTGAAGCTACGATTCGTGGCAGTGAAAGCCGCTGTGGACGGGCTTAGAGAGTCAAGAGATTTCTGGAACAATTCAAAGCTTTCAGCTTTGGAGACAAGGTTAGCGTAGCAGGGGAGAGGAGTGACTGCCATTCGTGTAGTCGAGAATGATGAGAAATCAACGCCAAGACCTTGAAGAAACCAATGGGCTTTGTTTGTGGCATAAATTGGCTGTCCAATGGCATGCAACTGGTCACAAAAGTGCCTTAAAGGCACTAGCATATTTAGAGATAGAGCGTGTTCCACGCTTCATCAATTGGAGATCATCTTTGAGACGAATCTCGTGAGCTTTGGAGCGATGATTGAAGGTGTTTTCCAAGGCGAACCAGATTTCACGTGAGGTGGAGAGGCCGACGACTTCGGCCATGGCCTCTTCAATTAAAGAGGAGAGAAGAAGGCTAAGAAGCCTTTGATCAGTATTTTTCCACGCCAGGTGTTTGTTGTTTAGTGTTTGAGAGGTGGGTGGGTCAAATCGTGGTGGAGGCTCCAGTGTTCCATCTACATAACCAAGTAGTTTTTGACTCTCAAGAAGGGAAGGAAGTTGGCTTTTCAATAGGAGATAGTTTGAGGATGAGAGTTTAATTGTTACCATGTGGATCATGGCGTTGAAAGAAAAGAGAGTGGATTCGACTGCCATGGGTGAGATTGAATGGTTTATGGATGTTAATCCAAGAGGGGCTCTAATACCATAAGACTCTTTGAAGAATAAATCAACTCACAGCTTTTAGTGATGGTGAGTGAGTCAATTTATATTGATATATAAGAAGCCTTACAAATCAATTTAGAGTAATTACATAAAAATTACAAAGGAAAAAATGGAAAGGATATCACAGAATTAGACTAGAACGATGGAGTAAATTCTATTACATATATTATGCCTTAGATTGAGGCAAATTATCCTCAACACAAAAGTAAATGAAGTTCATCTAATTAAATTTATCGTGTTTCTTTGCAAAATTCAATATTAATTTAATTTTAACAATGAAACACACAGTAACTCTAACATTTATGATGAAAATAGTTTAAAACTCTACAAATTATATTAGCCTGTTTGAGCCACATTATTTCAAAAAAATGCATTCTTAAACAGTGATTTAATATCATTTAAACCACACATTCTTTAATAATATAATATTACCGCAAATCAAAAACTTTTCCTTATTTTTTAACCACACATTTCCCATCAATACACTATTCAAAAATGCATTATTACGAAAATAATGTGGCTCAAACACCCCCTAAAATAAAATTTAACTTTTGTATAATTGAGTAATCATTTTTCGTGAAATCGACAATTTGAATTCGTTTGTTCTCTTTATTACTTTTACCCGACCTTTGCGATTGCGCTGCATATTTTTTAACGAACAATATTCAATGTCATTTTTATAAGTTTGGTGGCTAAAATTCGATCACCTCGAAGTTCAGCGAGTAATCGAAGACGTTTTCAAAGTTTAACGAATAATTGAAGACTTTTTTCAAAATTTAGCGAGCAAATAAAGTCGAAGACGTAACAATTTGTTAACGGCGTGACGGGACGATACATATATATTCCGTTAATCACGTCACTAATTTCGTTAAAGAATTAGAACAAATATTAAGATACTGAATAACGTCCAACGTTTTAATAATTTTAATGATCAAAGCTCGATGTCTTAAATCGTAGCGAGCAATCGATGATATAAGCATAAATTCAATGGCCATTGGAACAATTAACCCTTAGGTTTTTTATACATACTGTTTCAAAGTTACGTCTCCGTGATGTCTAATGTGAAAACTATCCTGTATAAACAATGTTTCATTCTCCAATAATTCATCCAACTAGAATATTTGTTCAAAAGCACCTCAACTTTATGGTATGTTTAAATCAAATTCTTTGCAGCAGAGACGAAGAAAATAAAAATTATCAGCACAAATCACGTTAGCATCTGCAAAATGTAGAATTAGAACACACGGACCAATTCCAAAACAAAGACCAAAAAATAGTTCCCAATATTTTTCTTACCACGTTCTTCGCCAGCTGCTGCGCATTTCTTCCGCCGGAAACCACCCATTTTTCCTTCAAAATGGAACACTTGAGAAGAACTAAAACAAGCCCCAATAGTTTCTACTTCCTCCTTTTCTAGCAATGATGAAACTGCTTCATTTTTTCTTACTAGTACTGATTCTGGCACGAACCACCGCCGCCAGAAGCGGTGGCGCTGATGCTAACGCACTTGCTTCCCTTTCACCTGATGCAGTTTCTCTCCTTTCCTTCAAGTCCAAAGCTGACCTTGATAATAAGCTTCTCTACACCATAAACGAACGGTTTGATTACTGTACATGGCAAGGTGTCAAATGTGCTCAAGGTCGTGTAGTACGCTACATTGTGCAGAGTTTTGGCCTCCGAGGCACCTTGCCCGCCGCCACCCTCACTCGTCTTGACCAGCTTCGAGTGCTGAGTCTCAAAAACAACTCGCTCGCAGGACCCCTCCCGGATCTTTCCTCGTTAACCAACCTGAAAACTTTGTTTCTTGACAATAACTATTTTTCAGGAACATTTCCTCTCTCCCTTTTGTCCCTCCACCTGCTAGTGATTCTTGATTTGTCTCAAAACAATTTTACCGGTTTGCTGCCTGAAACCCTGACGGTTTTAGACCGCTTGAGCTATCTCCGCCTCGATTCCAACCGGTTTTATGGGTCCATTCCACCACTGAATCAAACTATGTTAGACGTCTTTAATGTCTCGAGTAATAACCTCACCGGTCCTATACCAGTTACCCCAACTCTCAAAAAGTTCAAGATAATTTCATTTTTAAACAATCCTAGTCTCTGCGGCGAGAATATCAACAAGCCATGTTCCGGTTCGCCGTTCTTTAATGTTACATCAGGTGGTGGCGCAGCCCCAGATTCTTCCCCGCCGCCTTCACCGCTACTACAGAATGCTCAATCGCAGCAGGGATTAACTGCCCTTTCGCCTTCATCTCAAAGGAATCATCACAAAAAGGTTGGAGTAGTTTTAGGCTGTGTTGCTGGAGCTTTAATTCTAACAGCAGCAGTTTTGTGCCTCTTTGCTCTAATCAAAAAGCGAAAAGAAGAGAAAGAAGAAATTGAAGCAATAGCAAAAGAAGAAAAATATTTTGCTGATGCAACTACAGATAATAAAGGTCAAAGAGACACAAATTCATTTTCACTTGAAGATGAAAGTGCAAATGCTGAAAGTGAAATAAAGAATATGAAAAGTTCAGAGAAACCACAAGTAATGAAAAGTGGGAGCTTAATTTTTTGCTCTGGGGAAGAAGAATCATACAGTTTGGAACAATTAATGGGGGCTTCAGCCGAATTGCTTGGGAGGGGTACGATTGGGACGACGTATAAAGCCGCAATGGGGACTAATTTGGTAGTCTCTGTAAAGAGATTGGATGCATGTAAGACTGCCATTACAAGTGCTGAAGCATTTGAGCAGCAGATGGAGGCCGTTGGCGTGTTGAGGCATCCCAATTTAATTCCTATTAGAGCTTATTTTCAGGCTAAACAAGAAAGGTTGATCATTTTCGATTATCAGCCCAATGGCAGCCTGTTCAATCTTATTCATGGTTACCTCTCTAACTCCTTGCTTTTACGATAAATTGCAAATTCAATTTTGTTTGTTCATTTCTCCAGTTCGACTAATTGAGTTTTGGATTAGGACATAAATCTTAGAATTTCTTTCTTTCTTTGGAACGCCCAAGTCTTTATGTGATAATCAAGAATTTTTCCTTTCACTGTCTTGTGAGATTTTGATATGAAGTGGTGGACCAGTGGATTGAGACAGGGTTATGGCGAGAGTTGCTGAAAGAACTTTTTCTTTTTCTTTTTCTTTCTTTTCGGAATGTGATTGGAGCTAGAGTGTATTTTAGTGGTTCAATTAGTGTTGTAGAAACTTTTTTTATTGTGATTGGAAAATGGGTTCCCACTGGCTAATTCCGACAATGGTGGTTTGTCAGAGTCAAGCTGATATGTTATTGTTTGACACCATGGGAGTAACATGCTTTGCTTTTGTAGGGTCTAAAGGTGAGATGTCTGTCACTATGCTCGTTAATTTAGGTGCCCACCATATTGATTATTGAACAATCATATGACACAAATAGTATATAGAATAACCGGGGCCGGGCCAGGCCGGGCCGATTGCCTAGTTAGAGGCTGTCGGTATTTGACGGAATACCTTTCAAAAGAACTTGGCTTCGATTCGATAGTGATATTGCATAGTAATTGTAATTAGCAGTTAGTTATTTTTTGTCATAATGTGGAGAACAAATTTCTCGTGCTATGATTCATATCGAGTGTTGCAATTGCAACCCTTAAGTATTAGCACTGGTGTTGTTATCTTAAACAGTTAACCTAGTGCACTCTTCCGAAAGAGATTAATTAAGAGAAAGGCATGGAGGCATCCGAGATAGATTGATCGGTCGAGTGGTCTAGTTGGAGATGGGATTTAGCTTTCCTTGTCGCAATAAAGGCTGCTACTACTAGGCTCTTATATGGGCTTGTTTACTAATTTCTTGCATCAATAAGAAGCAATTTTCGCACCTGAATGATAATACGCTGTTTGACTAGGACGACCCTTTATCAAAGGCTTCGATATATTACATAATCCTATTTGATGGAATTGTGGAACAATCTCAGGCTTTTGTTCAAGGACTGAATTTGTTTAGCACGTTTTTCTTTAGTGAACACCCGCTTTCATAATAAATACATTCCATCCAGATGATTTGGAGGTCGAGTTTGGTCTAACTCAGAAAGTTTCCTCCATCAGAGCAATCCAAGTTGTAACGAATGAGAATCTGCCAGTCGATTCTGTATTCATTGATTCGGAACAAAATGTCATGATGCGAACATATCTCTACTACTATTTAGTATTTATGATGGTCGAACTCAATAAATATAGGGGGAACTGAATGGGGGCTAAAGTAGAAGTGGGCAGTGCATCAAAGCTACGGCTACTATGAATCTTCTTGCAATATCATAATGCGAGGCTCGGGATTTTACTGCAATCAACAAAAACAAAACTAAGGAATTTGTGGCGTGAAAACCAAGTTTGTTGCCAACATTTTGATGCTTTCACGTCAAATTTCATGAGATCTTTCAATTTTTTGAAATGAGTTTATGATAGGAAATCATATGGATTCTGCAGTGTTAGTGCATTGTTCATTTCTTAAATTCTTTGAATGGCAATTATTGAGCTCGAGTTTTCATTACTTCTTGGTATCATAAGATTCATGGATGAGAATCCTTCAATGTTGTATTTCTAATGCCTCCTTTAAAATGTGCCTTTCAGGTTCAAGGTCAGATCGTGCAAAGCCTCTTCATTGGACATCCTGTTTGAAGATAGCAGAAGATGTAGCCCAGGGCCTAGCCTACATAAACCAAGCATCCAAGTTTGTTCATGGAAATCTAAAATCAACCAATGTTTTGCTCGGATCCGATTTTGAGGCTTGCGTCACAGACTATTGCCTCGCCAATCTTGCAGATATTTCCTCAGACGATGATCCCGATTCTGCAGGCTACAAGGCTCCTGAAATTCGCGAATCTTCACGTCAAGCCACCACCAAGTCTGATGTATATGCTTTTGGCATCCTCTTACTAGAACTGTTGACCGGAAAACCACCGGCCCAGCATCCATTCCTTGCCCCTTCTGATATGCCAGATTGGGTTAGAGCAATGAGGGAAGATGATACTGAAGAGGATGCTCGACTCAGAATGCTAGTCGAGGTGGCTAGCATCTGTAGCTTGACTTTGCCTGAGCAAAGGCCAACAATGTGGCAAGTGTTGAAGATGATTACAAATATAAAGGAGATAATGGATGATACCACACGGGATTCATAGAAATGATACTTCTGAATCAAATTTTGAAACCTGCCAATAAATTATCTCATGTAAATTTTTGCAGAACTGAGCTTAGTGATCAATTATGTGCTCCAGGCTTGTGATTACGAGTAAATCCAATCACAACGTGCCATTGCTGCAATTTTTGGTACGAGGTAAATTATGCCAAAGTTTGGGAAATGTACTAGGCCTGTCCTCCAAATTGAACTGATTTGTGTTCCTGTTAACCATGGATCATTGTTGCTAGACATAGTTGTCTTATGGTTCGGCCACTGACTTGACCAACAGCATGTTTGGAAAATGATTATAATTTAGTTATTTAAGGTTAAATTTACTTTTTATTCACACACTTTATAGGATCCTCGATTACCTATTTATTATTTAAATTTTTAGGATCTGTAAGCTATAATCACTAAAATTTTAACTTACCTTAGAGCATGCTTGGGAAGTTATTTTTCATAATCACTTTTGGTCTAACATATTTTTTATTTATTCCTACTATTAAATTATTATTTATACATTAGATTCACAATTTATAATCGCTTAAATTTTAATTTATTTAATGTACAAGTTAAACTAGTTCGAATAGGCTATAAGATTAATGGTACTTGTTTAAAAAAAAAAAAAAAAAGGAGAGATTAAGGGGACTACTACTACCCAAGTTAGCACTTAGCATTAAAAGTTATTTAGTGCTTGTTTATGCTCCATTATTTGTGTGTTATGTATTATGAAATAGTGATTGACGTTGAAATGTAGTTAAAAAAAAGTTTTGATTTACGTGAAATATTATTTTAATGAAGAATGTGTGGTTAAAAATGAGTACTGTAAAAAAAATAATGTGATAAAATATGAAAGAAAGGAAGACAAACAAAGTCTTAATTGAATAAAGACTTGTAAATCAAATCATTTGTATTGACAAAATAATTTTAAAACATTTAACAGAATAAATAATTTAATCATAAATTTTGTGCCTCTAAATCGAAAAAAACTTAATGGGACGATATCAACGTGATAAGAGAGTAAAGTAGGTGTGTAACGTTGAATTGTAGTAAAAGAAAGAAACAAAATAGGTGTGCGACAATAATTGTTACATTTTGAGTTATTCTATATAAAATATATCCTAGCCCTTGTTTGGTCTTATTATTTTCAAAATATATTTTTTCCTTCTATTTTCAATCACAATAAAATATCATTATTTTATTTCGACATTCTTCATCAAAATACTATCCCAAAATTTATTTTCGACAAAAAATTAGCTTAAACAAACTTCTAATTTTAGCCTCTGTTTGTTTCCCATTTTTTCTGCATTAAAATGAAAAATATGATCGTTATTCATCACATCAAATTATCAAATTTAAATTTTTATCTCTTGTGTCGAGTTCATAATGATTATATTTTTCATTTTCATTTCTATAAAAATGAATTATTATAGGACAGTTCTGGCACGACTTCACTCCTCCAAATCAGGCAAAAATCCTCTTGTGAACAATCCAAAGCTTTTGGCATTGTCGTCTACTTCACGCGTCATTCACCCCTATGCCATACAATCTCAACCGTCCGTCACTTCTTCGGCGTGATTCACTTCAAAAGAAATTTATAGATTAGATAAATAAATAAAACTCTCCTTTTAAAAGTCAGCCGCAGTCGTACAATAATTATAAGGTTGTTGGTCCACTGAATTTCGCTGCAAAAATTGTTGTTGAAGGAATTTCTTGGAGAAGAATGTCTGGTGGTATTGCGCGTGGACGACTGGCGGAGGAACGCAAAGCCTGGCGCAAAAACCACCCTCATGTACGAGAAATATACGTATTCTTAATAATCTTTGATTCGTGTATGATTAGGTTAATGTTTTTTTGGCGCAGGGTTTTGTGGCTAAGCCGGAGACACTTCCTGATGGCACAGTGAACTTGATGGTGTGGCACTGCACAATCCCTGGTAAACCGGGAGTAAGTATTTCAAAGATGTTATTTCTCCTTTTCACTTTTAATTTGCATTAATTGGGAAAACTATGCTATTGATAAGTAGGGTTTGACCAGGGTAAAATTTGGGAAAAATTTATGTTTTCTTCGTAAGAAGGTTTCCTATTCAAATTTACCATTAATTGTTGAATAGCCTTTTTATGAAATTAAAGATATTATTTAAGATTGTTGAGGGAGATAAACTGAGTTCATATACTTGTTCGAGACTCTGTGAGAGATACTGTTATGTGTGACGTTGATTTATTTATTGCGTAATGCTATTTTGCTGGTGATGGTTGAATTGTTTCTGATAAACTTGCGGTTAGACTGCAAAAGGTTGGATTTGGTCCAACATAGTTTACTGCAGAATGTTTTGAACATTGACCACGTATCTCCCAGATAGCCATGTTTCATATTTAGATAATGGATAGTTTGTCGTTTCTAGTAACAGGATGTTGCATGACTTGATTTTGAAATGGAAAATGAACCGTCGAAGAATTCCTGCCACTTCTCCTTCATATCTTACTGCATTTTGAAATGACCACATAACTCCTCTGTTTCTGTTAATGGTGTTAACAAGTAGCATTGCACTTCTTTTCTTTAGTAACAATCACAGTCTTGATGTCGGTGATATAATTGACTTGCTTAAATCCTAGGATGATGAACATTCTCGCGTGGCCACTCCATCCGATTTGGATGCATGTTGAACTTTAACACATTCAACACTGGACATGTGAAATTGCGCTTTATAAGTTCCCAAAAATTGAAGATACTGATCAAGAAGTAGAATTGCAATTATTTGTGGAAGGGTATCAATTAACCATTGATAAAAGGAAGAGATGTTGTGTATGAATCACTCATATATTCTTTTGAATTATATGTATCTGGGGATTAATTTGGAAAACTAGGAGGAATATGCAAGAATAAACCATTTTTATTGGAAACATTCCTCTAATTAATTCCTTGGGAACTTATATAGTAGATGTAATATATAGAATTGTAATCAATCTAATATTGCTATTTGGAGATGATTTAAACAGATCAAATGAAACAAGAAAAAAGTGATCATGTTCGCCTTTTTTATTTTGTGATTTTTCGAATTCCATCGGTTATTAATTTGTATCTTATCTGATCATCCATCCATAAGCCACCGACCTCATAACATTCAAATTAAAATTTGACTTTTCCAAAAGAAGTAAGTTTAAGTAAATTGGAAACGAACTGTTGTTGCAAACATAGTTCAACGACTGATTAATTGCACCAGTATTGTCAGCTCGGAAAACCCAATCTTCCAGATATCGCCAGCATCATTTCTATTTACCGCAACTCTCATGGCGAATTTTCTTCGCGACTTCATTCTGTTGCTCAAATTGATCATCACAATGAGCTGAGTGAACTGGATGATTACTACATGCTGGTTCCTTCTCTTCAACAGTCGGATCAGGTAGGTGATGAACTCTATTCCCAAATTTCCACAGCAGCATTTTGATGCTCAAACGTTGAAAGCCTCTCCAAAACTATAACCATCTTCCTCTCTGTGAGATTCAATTTTTGTAGATCTCCTTTCACAGATGCAAATTCTCTATGCAAGTCACTACTAACCCCATTCATACGTTCCTCCACAATTCCGAATCCCAATCGGTCCCCTTTTTTTCTTTGCAGTTATTTACCGAGGTACTATCCTGATACCAATTGATAGAACCCTGAGGCAATTGATGGAATGCCCTACAATCTAGCAAAAAATAGGCAGCTGCATTTGTATTGTTTGATACTGATGAACATAATGGAAACTTGTAGTTTATAATGATTATATTTATGTAGATGACAGGAAAATGTATTTGTATTGCTGTAGTATTGTGTGCAACTAGAAATGAAATTACAAGATATCATCAAGCTTTCTAGAGGCTCGTTCTCTCCCTCACACACTCCCAATTTCTGAATGCCTCCATTGGTGCTTACTTTATTCCAGAACGTTCCGGTAACACCCCCACCCCCACCCCCACGCCCACAACTAATTGAAATAATAGAAAAAGGCTGTAAAGATAACAGACTATTAAGCTGTGGATATAAATTCCATGCAATTACAATGCAGCTACTTCCCTTGCTTCTTCCTGCATTGAGCTTACGTACATCAAATGGGGGCCTATCATTCTTCGAAGTTGGTTGGATGCACCTACTACGTAAGAGACAGAGAAAGGAAGAGGTAGATGGAAAAAATTTAGGAATGATAGGAAATGTTTTGAAGGAGAAGACAAATGGGACTTATGAATTATAGATTAAAGTAAGACATTCGACATAACCTAGTAAATGACATAACCTAGTAAATGAGGCATCCTTGTTCATTTTCTCCCAACAGTTTTTCCTGTTGGTATTTGATAGGGATTAAATTTTTAATCTAAATAAAAATCGACAATTAATTCTAATCACATATTTCATGAGATCCATAACTTCTCAACTACATATTTAATTAATTTTTATCAAAAGTTACTAAATTCTAATTTTTATCCCGATCGATGAAATCTACGAATGTTGATGCCTAAAGGTTTAAATCAGCAAGAACTTGTGCTGTTTGGCCCCTGTTTGGTATGGATTAAATTCTAGATTCCTTGTTTGGTATAGGTTAAATTCTGGATTTTAATCCAAATCAAAGTCGATAATTAGCCCCCCATTTGGCCCCCATTATTTGAAATTCTATAAATAGGACTAGCATTTCTGAATAATGTAGATGATTGATTTGAGTACTCAGCAATGTTAAAATTATTCTTATTTCTCCCTACATTTTCTTTTCCAAATTCTTAATTCTTCTTCTCTCTGGTTCACATGAAAATTGAATGAACAGTTCAATTTTCACATTGAACAGGCCATTAAGGTAGACACTAATTTACAGTTAAATAATGTAATCATGTTAAAGAGAAACCATATACTGTCATGTGCACATTTTGTCAGTTAATAACTTGGTAAATCTAGCACTTCGAGATATTTGCAAATTTCCATGAAAACGAATGAACTGGAGCACCCAGTTCAGTTTTGTTCCAAAGAAACAAAATATAAATTCTGAGTATCCCAAACTTAGAGCTTGTCCAATGGTCCAGTTCTTGGTTTTAATAATCAACTTGAGAATCGGACATGTCATGTTCGTTTTCTTCATTTTTCTGACTTTTAAATAATTTTTAAATTTTATTGGTTGGTAGATCTAATGAAAATTGATGTCTCCACACCTAATCTAGTCCATTTCTTAGCCTTAAATCCCAAACATAACCGAAATACACCCCACTGGAATTGATTCGGTTCATTTTTTTGGTACCAACTAGAATGGTTCTGGATAAAGAAACCGAATTTCAAATGGCTTTGCACGGTTATTAGCTAGAGCATGCCCCATTCCTACTTGCGCTCGAAACTTGTGCACGAGACTAACTTGTATACCCTAGGTTATGTTAAGGGAACTGGTATGAGTTTGGATTGATGTGCAATGGTTGTTTGTTTATCTGAGTTTAAACACTCAACTGACTCAATAAAAAAGTCTTAGCTCATGTTATTTGGTCTGCTTTAATACAAGTGTCAAATAGATTTGGAAAACCTTCTTCATTTACACCACTGTCACATTGCCATTGTAACTTGGTAACAACTATGTTAAATCATGTGTACTTCTGCAGACTGATTGGGAGGGCGGTTATTACCCACTGACTATGAATTTTAATGAAGACTATCCAAGCAAGCCACCAAAGTGTAAATTCCCTCAAGGTTTCTTTCATCCAAATGTTTATCCATCTGGAACTGTTTGCCTCTCAATTCTCAATGAAGATAGTGTAAGTATATTGCATTGTGCTACCATTTATATGTTGACCTACTATTTCTGATTTATTACTCTCAATAGTTATGTCTTTTTCTTTTAATCCTAGGGGTGGCGACCTGCCATTACAGTGAAGCAAATTTTAGTTGGCATTCAGGATTTGTTGGATCAGCCAAACCCTGCTGATCCAGCTCAGACGGAAGGGTATCATTTGTTCCTTCAGGTATCGAGCCTGACCTGAATTTTTTGAAAATTAGAATACAATGTCGGGAGTTTGTCATAAGCATATTAAAATCACGTTGCGCCTCCCACTCTCCCATTTGTGCATGTGGCGGTATTAGACAATAAGGCATGAATTTTAATGAAAGCAACCAATGGAGGAAAACTGATCTCCATTATGGGATTGATCATGTCACGAATCTAATCCACATGTACTTAAAATAGAAAAGCCGGTGCCATGTTTAATGAAGAGAAAGGTGGTTTAGGATTGATATCATCATTCATTTACTGACTCTTTTTGAAACATATGCAGGATGTTGTGGAATACAAGAAGAGGGTTCGTCAGCAGGCCAAGCAGTATCCTCCACTTGTCTGAATGTAGAGGCTGTTTCAGTTTTAAGTTATTGTTATAACTTGTATGAAGACCATTTTTTTCTTCCCCTTTTTTTGGGGGAATTTTTATATTTTGTTGGAGACGATGGATTAACCAACAATTGGCACGTGTTTTTAGTGATAGTCGAACCTTCATTGTGCATCGACTCCTAATTGAGTTGAGTTGCTACTGGTTTCTCAAAATTGTGGAAAACTACAACTGAGGAATGACTCTAAGAATATAATTTGTGCGATTCCACATTTCACGGCGTCTTTTATTATTTTGGATGCTTTCTTTTTGTTTACATTAGACGTTATTCTGGGATAACTCACTTTCACGTTAACAATTAATTTGTATTGATTGTGTCCTCTTTACATTCTTTGTACTCAATTCCTTGTTCAACTAAGCATCTTATATTTACACCCTTAACATCACAATTTTCAATCAAAGTTAATGTGAAATGTAAATTATGGATTGTCGTGGGACAATAGTATGCAGCCTCTTATTATACCAGAAAAATGTTTCTACTAATTTTAGCTTTGGCCTCTTCTTTTTGAGTAAAATACTACCACAATCTTCCTTCTCAACGTTGGACTGATTAGGGATGTAAGGAAAAATCGCAAAATTGAAAAAATCGAACCGAAATCTCATTTTAGAAACCGTCGGTTTGGTGCCACGTGGATCTGGTCAACGAAATGGTTTTGAACCAAACCAAACCAGTCAAAATGGTTTGGTTTATGTTTGAGAATTTCAATTACGGTTTAAAACTAAACCGAACCGGCAAAAAATATATAAAAATAAAAAAATGAAAAAATGAATTTTTTTTGAAAATTCATCCAAATATGTAAATTCAATAGTTTTATCATTTGTAAGTATTTTTGTCAATTTCTAATTTTCTAATACATATATATTATTATTACCTAATAATCCTAATTTATATCTAATAACCTCAAAACTAACATACTCTATCAAAAACCATTTTCCTCTGACACCCGACACACTTTTGAGCCACCAGCACCATACACTCTTCTTCTTCAGATTTTTTACGCCTCTTCAAAGTTGAATTGTAGTCCATTATACTAAATCGGAGACAAAGAGATCCTAGGTCTTTGGAGATAATATTTGCTACGAATAAAGTTTCAAATCAACAATATTTTTGAGCAAAATGAGATAAGAATCTGAAATTAAATGCGTTTTGTAACAACATACAAACGTAAGTTTGTGTAATTGTTATGTTTAGATATTATAAACAATTGCTTTATTATTGTGGTTGGTTATTCTCTTTGTCTAACCAATAACCTTATTTTCAGATATGATGATCACGAGATCTTGTTGAATATCAATATGTTTTTTGGGCTTTATATCTTGTTTAGTAGACTTGTATTGTACCATTATCATAACGTTATTAAACTATTAAAGGTAAACAAAAATGGAAAAAAAAAAATAATGTTTTAGTTTATTGTGATTTTACTTTGATTTAGTAGATATTTAAATTTATAGTTGATATATTTAGCTCATGTTCGAGCCATATATTCCATGTTATTATAATGAGAAAATTGATCGTTGGAGAGGAGGCTGGGTCCCACGTATAAAATAACATGTCAACAAATGCGATTGGACTTGTGGGGATAATGGTCCAAATTTTCATTTTTTTTTGTCCCAAAAATTTTGATGTCGTAAAAATAGACAGACAAAAAAATATACGACGAAATCGGCTGTTTAAAACCGGATCAAACCATTAGATTTAGGTTTGAATTTTTTCAAACTGTTCAAAATGGTTTGGTTTATGTTTGAGTTTCTCTCAAACCAGTTTAAACGGTTTGGTTTGAAAATTTGTCAAAAATTGGTAAAATCGAACCGCTTACACCCCTAGGACTAGTGGTGGAGCCACGTTATGCCCGCACTGAAATTTTAGGCCCAAACAATTTTTTTTTTTTTTTAAATCAATAGGGGAGGTGGAATAAAAGCATGTTTTAATTCACATGTGTTTTATTTTTAGGGCGAAACCCATGATTTTGTTTTATAGTTTTATCATCATTAAATTCACGATCAAAACACAATGTTCGACATGGGTTAAATCAGGGACGGACCTAGACCTTTAATATTATGGGGTCAAAATTTTAAAAATAATTTTTTTAATAAACAACATAATATCAATGAAAAAAGTTTATATGTATTTTGACAATTTGAAAACGTCGTATAACTACATAATTATTAATATTATTAAATAAATTTTGCTATTTATAAAGTTTGGCAAATGCTGAGCTAACATTGAGTAAATTAAATAGAATATAGAAATTAAATGAATTGAAATAAAATTCAAATTTAATTCAGGAAGTAAATGAAATTTAAATTTAAAGCAAATATAATTCAAAAGTAATTCAAATTGCATTTAATCCGTAACGATCCTAAAAAATTTACGTTATATTTCATGTAAGACTTCTGAATGAAAGATATAAATTATATTGAAAAATTTATCGTGCAAAAATAATAATTAATTGAATTTTTTAAAAGAAAAAACGAGTTAGACATCTTTTTTGAGGCGTACGTTTGATTCATATTTAACTATTTTCGATATCCGTTTTAACCATTTGATATGAAAAAGATGTAGTTTTCGAAACAAACTTTTACATGACATAGACGATTTGTGGATTCAGATAACACATGATCGCAAACGAATTTTTAAAGTTAGGATATTATCGAAATTATCAAAATACTAGTTTCAAACCTACTTTAACATGTCATAACTTTTGCTATGTTGATCACTTCGCATGCCATTAATGAGTAAAAAATTAGGCCATGAACACTTCGAAATGATATTAAGAATGTAATATTTTGACTTTATTTGACATCTCGACGAGTGCATCAAAATAGATTGTTAAAACAAAAAAAAAGGGCAAAATTTTGTGGGGTCATTTGACCACATGTGGGTCTGCCCCTGGATTAAATTATGCCTGCATTGAAAATATTTTCTGGCTTCGACCCTGCCTAGGACTGATGAACTTCACGTTTTTCTGTAAAACTTTTTCTTTGCTTGATATTTATTTAATTTATGGTCCCAAACAAGGTGGAATTGTTTGACGATGGACGATAGCTGAAGTTCCAAATTCCCAAAAACATGTCTTATTTTTTTATTTTAGAAGCTGATTTAAAATTCTTCAAATCATAATATTAAAATTTTCAAAAACATACTCTTTATCTCATCGAAAAGTACACCGTTAGCGTAACAGAGACCTCTAAAATGAAGGGGAAAACATGGAAATATTTGCATGTGACAAAAACCACTGCTACTATTGAATCAGTGACTAAATATCGTCTCGTGAAAACTTGAAAAAAATGTTTATTATAATCTGTCATATTTTGAGTCATTTGAATAATGTTAGGCGCTACAGAACATTGACTTTTTCAGTCTTGAATTTTTCATACAGAATCTGCAAATATTAATTACTTCAAATTCAACAGCAATATGCAAAAACCCTTATGAATCTTTCTTGAAGATGTGTCCACTTTTCATCCTCGAGACCGTGAAATATGTTTTTAAATTAAATACATGTTATGAGGATATACTAATTAAGGAGCACGAGAAATGGCCATTGTTCTTGGTATCAAGAGATTCACTGGTGTTTGACCTTGAAAAGGATTCTACCTAATCCTAATACATTGATCTTGCCAAATCTAGTTCCAAGTATAAGCGCTTAAGATTATGCTATGCTTTTGTTTTGCATTATGGTTGAATGGCTACTACTTGATGAATCATGATTTTAACAATCAGATGACGAAAGACGCGGATCAGAAAGGATCTGCTACTTTTTCGAAGATCATTGATCTGATGCTGGTAGAATTTGTGCTTCATTGTTAGCAATGCAATATTTGTAAGATAGGCCCCGCTGCAAGTACTGGGCCCTGCATTTATCTGAGAATTCTTTTTCCTATCTTAACCTTATGCTGCTGGTCACATAGGTCTTTCTAGGTACATAAGTTTTGTTGGAAAAATGTTTCCCCACAAAAGGGATGGAAAAAACAAATAATAGAAGCAGGAACTTATGAATTAAACATAAAGGCTTAAACACCAAATTCGTTTCCATCAAACAATATTTGTCCCTCTCAGATTGAATTTGATGCTTAAAGGAATATTGACAAATGGTTTGAAGGATAATCAAACATTGTAATAGAAAATCACTTAAGCACTTTGTGTTTTCCATGAAAACTTTGAGAACACTTTGAAAGAAATTTGAATATGAAGGAAATAATATAAATTCTATCTTTTGAAATGAATATTTGATCTCAAGTTGTTAAACTATGTGTTTGATGTGATATTCTATCATGTTCAATTAACACTCAAGAAATAGTGCCAAAAAACCATGAAAAGATATAAGCTTTTCACCATATACCACCAAGAATTCAAACAAAAACCAGCCTTTACGACTATTTTTTAGTTCTAAACCTATGTGGTCGCATAGGTTAATCACTTGTAGGGCATATAAGCCTTGCATGTCTTTATGCGACCCCAAGCCACAAAGGCCTATGCGGTCTCATGGGTCAAAGTTTCGACCTCCTAATCCATTTTTATTCCAAAGCCAATTTTATTGATTTTGAATGGTAATTTCAACAATCTCCCATTTGTTCAATATTTAGTAAAATTTTTGATTCAAAATATACAATACTTTATATATAAAGATTAGATATCTTTCTATTTAAATCTAACCATAGTGTAATTCAAATAAAGTAAAGTTGAAATTAAAGGTTGCAAGAAAGCTTTGAATCAATCATTTCTTGTAACAATATCGGTAATAACACACACAAGTATTACATGTTCTTAAGTTCCTCAATATCGTTTAGTGCTAATATGACATTACACTCATCCTATTCAACAAACTTTTAAGAGAAAAACTCTAACTCTTTATTGAAGCGACACCACCGCAAAATTCATCTAGGTGAAATTCTACTAGTTTTTTTGTTACTTTAAATTATACTTGTACTTTAGTACTGAATTTCATTAAGAGCTTAAAGCTCAACCCTCATTTAAGTAACAACCAACATTATATTATTAGGATAGGGTTATTGAGGATTTTATAATGTTGAAACTATTCACGACTTATTATTACACTTTAAACCCTAGAATTACATTTTAAGTAATGACGGGTAGAGTTGCCATCATTGGTGAATCTTTTATTTTAAGAGTTTCAATTCCATCTTACTCGAAGTAGATATTATTAAATCTCTATTTAAAGGTTTAGTTAAAGGATCCGTTAAATTCTCAATTTACTTAACATAATTTAGGGAAATTATTTCACTCTTGATTAATTTTCTAATATAGTCGTGTGTCAGACTCATATGTTTAGACTTCCCATTGTATACTTCATTGTATGTCTTTGCTAATGTGACTTGACTATCACACATGATAACTATTGAAAATGTATTCTTTGATCCCAAAGGTCTCTCATAAAGAATATGCTTAAACCACTCAACTTCTTTCTTGAAATTCAGATTCTATGATTGAGTGTGTAATACATATTTGTTTCTTTAATTTTCAAGAAAGAGCACCTCCTCCAAAAGTAAACACCCAACTCGAAGTAAATTTAATTTTATCTGTACTAGATATCTAACTAGCATCGATAAATCCTTCTAATATAGTCGAAAATTTAGAATATTATAGACCTAAATTCTTGGTTTTCTTTAAATAGCCAAGAACTCTTCTAATGGCCTTCCAATATTCCTTACTCGCATTACTAGTAAACATACTAAGTTTATGAATTGCAAACGCTATGTTCAGTCTTGTGTATTGAATTGTGCAAATTAGACTTTCTATAGCACTTACATACTACAATTGAGCAATTTCTCTTACATCATTCTTTATAAGTTTTAAACTTGGATCGAGAGGGGTATTGAATTCTTTTATGTTCAAATATTTGAACCTATTAATCACATTCTCAATATAATGTGATTGACTTAAAAAAATCCTACTAGTTTTTGTAACTTTGATATTCAATATGGTATCCACTTGTTCAAGATCTTTCATTTGAAATGTTAAACATAGAAACCTCTTTGTCTTTTTGATTCCATCCATGTGATTACTCATAATCAATATGTCATCCATATACAAGCAAATAAAGATTATATATATTCATCACACACTTTAGAATATAAAACCCTTCGAATTGTTTCATATAAATCTCTTCATCAAGATTTCCATTTAAGAATGTCATCTTAACATCCATTTGATGAATATACAAATCATATATCGAAACTAATACGAATAAAATCTTAATTGAAGTTATTCTAGGTACTAGCGCATAGGTATCAAAATAATCTATTCATTCCTTATGTCAATGCCCTTTAGCTACTAATCTAGTTTTAAAGGTATTAAGAGAACTATCAACATTGTATTTTCTCATAAACACCCATTGACATCCGATAGGTTTGGATCCGGGTAATAAATCGACAAGTTTTCATGTATTATTTGACATAATTGAATTAATTTTATCTTTAATTGCATCTTTTCAAAAGATGCTATCACGAAAAGTCATAAATTCTCTATAAATTTTATGATCGGTCTTCACTTGTAGAACGAAAGGAATTGCTCTTACAACATTCTTCTTATTTTCTTATACTAGGTGAAATAAAATAAATTGAGAGTCAATTTCATCAAATCCTAAAGGCTTCTCAATTCGAGTTCTTTTGTTTTTTCGTGGTTCACAAGATTCCCGAACATTTTTAGAAGATATTTCATCTTATGTTCCACTCGAGTTAGAAATCTCATTATAAATTTCCCTTAATTCATTATCCGAGGATTGTGAATTCTCAAAAAACTGAACATCACTTGATTCAATTATTACTTTGGTTTCCAAATTTAACAATCCATTTGATTTGCTATTATTAACATAACCAACAAAGACACATGTAATGTCTCTTGGACCCAACTTGATCCTATTAGGGGTGGTGTTTTTACAATATGCAAGACACTTTACAATTTGAAGCATTCAATATCAGGTTTCTTCCTTCTCACAATTCATAAGGAGAAGTTTTTGTAAATTTCGAGGGAATTCTATTTAGTATCCTACGTGCACTCAACAATGCTTAACACCCATAAATTAAATGATAACTTAGCATAAGTTAATATGACAGTTATCATTTCAACTAAAGTTCTATTTTTCCTTTCAGCCAAACCATTTTGTTTAAGTATTCTAGATTCAGAATATTGATGAATTATACATTGTTGTTCACAAAACAAGCTAAAATTATTAGAAAAGTATCCACCTCCTCTATCGCTTCTTAGAGTTTTTATTTTCTCACTTAAGTGATTTTCAGCTTCAATTTTATATGTTTCAAACATATCAAAATTTCATGTTTATATTTCGTTAAATAAACATAAGTATATTTAGAGTGGCAATCTATAAAGGTAATAAAATAGTTTCCACATCTAGTTAACATACCATTTAATTCACATATTTCTGTATGAATTAATTTTAAAATATTAAAAGTCCTATTTACACTTTAATATGACTTCTTAGTCATTCTAGATTTTATACATATTTTTCATTTAAATGCATCATTTTCATTATATAATATTAAGTCACATTTTAACATTTTTTTATGGTACTCTTACTTATGTGATCGAATATGGCATGTCATAAAGTAAATGAATCAAAAATATAGTCAAAATCAACTTTCTTAATAATTTTGTCAATAGTAGAAAGTTTGACCATTCCTTCACTAGAATAACTACTTCCAACAAATTTCCCATTTAGAGATAATACAAAATTGTCAACACTTTTTATGCCCGATTTTCATAAAAGATTACCACTAACTAAGTTCCTATTCATTTCAAAAACACGTTGTACATTTGTTAGAGTAAAGATTTTTTTGAAAGTGGAGATAATCTCTACATTTCCTCTCCTAACTACTTTAGAGAGGCCTTTACAACCCATGTTGAATCTCTTGATCTCCATCGACTTTATAATAGGTCTTGAATAAAGACTCATCATATGATTTATGTAAAGTTGCACATGTATTATACCACCAACCAAGAAATTCTCCCTTGATTACATTTCCTTTGAAGTTATTTTGCTTTCAATGTCGACATTTCTTTGCATGATATTTGGGTTGCCCACATACAAAACAATCTCTATTGGACTTATTCTTAAACTTGTTAAATTTTTTAGAAGGTTTTATCTTGTTGGATTTATTTTAAGATTTGATCTTCTCTACTACATTGGCATTTGAAGTTCCTTTATAAGATTTGTCATTCTTATCTCTTGCCCTCAATTCTTCTTCCATTCAAAGATATTTTTGCACTTGTTCCAAAGAATAATCTATGGAAGTATGCATTATTTTCTTCCAATATCCTTTCCAAGTCCCTAAGAGTTTAGCAATGGTTGTTCCTACTTGGAAAGATTTCAGGATCTCAATTTTAATCGCATTCAACTTGTTGACAAGAACTTGTAACTCATGTACTTGGGGGAAGAGTGAAATGTTATCAAGGAATTTGAAGTTGAAATTAGGAATTTCTAAGTATCATCTTCTTCGACTTTGTACTTATTTTTCATAGCATCTCATATTTCTTTTGTCGATAATGTATTTGTGTAGAGATCATACAATCGATTGAATAGAGCGTTAAGAATATGACTGTGGCATATAAGTTCACCCTCTTGACGTTTTTTTTCTCTCTCAATCTTTTGGACTTTGGTATTTTCATTCGTTGGATCAACAAGTGGTGGTGTCAATTTTGGATCAAGAATGTAAAAGATCTTCAACTCCATGGGAAGAAACCTCAACTTGCCTTGTCATCTTGTGAAATTTGTCCTATCAAATCGATCTAGATGAACAAGATCTTGATTCATCAATTTGATCGTCATCTTCGTAGTATCGTTTTCCATTATGAAATATTGTTTGAGATTGTTTGGAAATGTTTCCATAAAAAGGAGATGGAGAAAGAGAGAAAAAAAAAAAAGGAACAAAAACAAGGACACCAGAATTAAAGAAAAATGCTTAAACACAAAATTCGTTATCCTCAAACAATATTTACCCTTTCTTGGATTGAATTTTATGCTTAAACAGACACAAACAAATGGTATGTAATAGAAAAACACTTAAACACTTTATGTTTTCTATCAAAACTTCAAGAACACTTTAAAAGAAATTTGAATATGATGGAAAGAATATAAATTCTATCTTTTGGAATGAAGACTTGATCTCAAATTATTGAATTATGTGTTTGATGTGATAATCTATCATATAGTTATAGATTTAAGTCAATATTCACGAAATAGTGCCAAGAAATCATGAAAAGTTGTAAGTTTTTCACCAAATGTCATTAAGAATTTAAACAAAATCCAATATTAATGGCTATTTTTAAGTTCTAAGTTTTCGCATATGTTAATCACTTGCAGCGCATGTAAGCCCTACATGTTTTTATGCGACCACATGCCACAAAGGCCTATGCGACCAAAGTTTTAGCTTTCGAATCCTTTTTTCATTATAAAGTCTATTTTATTGATTTTGAATAATAATTTCAACATTATGACAATATCATATTTTGCTATTTCATCTTCATCGGTATAAAGTGCATAAATACAATAACATAAATAGTCTTCACTTAACCAGAGGATTTATTCTTAATAACTTCTAGTAACATCGCGCTTAAAGAAGGCTCGCAACACTCCTAAGTCGCTAACCCAATCTGGATAATCATTTGGTACCAATGCCAAGGAGTTACATATGGGACAAATGTTCTTCCGCTGCAGCCACACTTTCATGCAATTGGCATGAAACTCATGTGCACAGTCGCATAAACTACCAATCTTATCTTCGTTCTCATAGTTCTCCTGTTGTATCAAATCACTAAATCAGTTCCTAATCTAACAAATCATTTAAAAGTAAATATTAACTGGATTGTTTGTCAAGAATATGAAACATATATCAACTGTTACAAGAAATCCGCTCAAATCGACTCAACAAATGACCCAAAACCCTCAAACCAAAGGCATCAAGATTTTCATTGATTTAGGCTCAAATTATGCATTGTACCCGTCTGTACAATGTTGAAAGCTCATAAACCACAGTCCCAAAGAACAAACACAAAGGCAGTCACTACACTGGACCCAAAACCCTCAAACCCGAACAGGAAAATCTCGTCTAAACACAACTGAATAGTCACACAGACAGGGAGACCACACAGTAGCCACAAAACCAGAGGTTTTATGGCTTAATCAACAGATTCATGAAGAAGGAGAAGAGGCAGAAGACATAGAGTCACCCAAGAGAGAAAACCCAGAAGGTTCCAAAGAAAATATCACAAAGAGGCACAGAAAATATGATTCAAAATTAGGGCAAAACGTCTCAGACCCCGTTTATATATTAATGGGTCATCACAGTAGATATTAGGTTAAGTAGATCAAAGGGTCCAGAGCGACACACGTGGGTTATTACATTTAGGCTAGGTTTCATTTGCTTTCAACATTGAATTATTGGGCAATGGGCTGGTTAGTATCTGTTGGACCTTTTAATATCATCATTGCCCAAATGGGCTGGACACACAAATATATATTTTTGGCATCACAGCCCAATAAATCTCTCTCTTAATGCCAATGATCCAAACTCACAAAGATAAAGAAAAGAAAAATTTAACAAAAGACTTTTCAAGCAATTGGTATAATTCTTTATAGATCATTAGCACCAAATCAAATACACCTACACAAACACAAAGTTTCCCTAGTATCAATTCTTAAGAGTTGCAAACATGACTTAAACTTATTTAGAGGAAGTACCTTAGTACCCATATCAGCGGAGTTAAACTGAGTAGGGATTTTTTGAAGCAAAATAGATTCTTTTTCCACAATATCTCTAATAAAATGCATTCTCACATCTATGTGTTTAGTTCTTTCATGAAAAAACTGGATTTTACATAAATGTATAGCACTTTGACTATCAGAGTATACAACAACGGGGTCAACAGATTCATTTACCTCATTTAGAAGACCTTTCAGCCATAAGGCCTCTTTAATGGCCTCAGTTGCAGCCACATATTCTGCCTTAGTAGTTGATAAGGCTATAATTGATTGCAATTGAGACTTCCAACTTATACAAGTATCACACAAAGTAAACACATAAGCAGTAGTTGATTTCTTGTTATCTCTATCACTGGCATAGTCAGAATCTACGTATCCCTTTAAACTAACTCCTTCTTTACTAGATCTAAAACATAAGCCTAAGTCTGCTGAGCCTTTCAAATACCTTAATAACCATTTCATTGCATTCCAATGTTCAAGGCCAGGGTTAGACATAAATCTACTTAAGGTACTTATAGCATGTGCAACATCGGGTCGTGTGAAAACCATGGTGTACATTACAGATCCAACAACATTTGAATATGGTACCTTTTCCATATATTTAATATCAGATTCATCATGTGGAGACTGATCTTTACTCAACTTAAAATGACATGCAAGAGGTAATGTCACAAATTTAGAATCATGCATTGGAAACTTGGATAGGACCTTCTTCACATAATCAATTTGTGACAACATTAATAACTGCTGGGACCTATTTCTTTTAATGTCCATCCCTAAAATCCTTTTAGCATGCCCAAGATCTTTCATTTCAAATTCAGCACTAAGCTTATTTTTAATCTCATTTGTATCACTTATTTTCTGGCCAATTAACAACATATCATCCACATATAACAGCAAATAAACAGTCACACAGTTGCTGTTATCCCTTTTAAAATACAAGCAATGGTCAAATAAACTTCTAACAAACCCAACTGAAGACACAAAGTTATCAAAACGTTTATACCATTGCCTAGGAGATTGTTTTAGGTCATAAAGTGATCTTTTTAACTGGCATACATGATCAGATTTTCTATTTTCAATGAAACCTTGTGGTTGTCTCATATATATGGTTTCATCAAGGTCTCCATGCAAAAAAGCAGTTTTAACATCCATTTCTTCTAATTCAAAATTATAATGTGCAACTAATGCAAGCATGACTCTAATGGCAGTATATTTCACAACAGGAGAAAAAAACTCATTATAATCAATACCAGGTTTTTGGGTAAACCCCTTAGCCACTAATCTAGCTTTAAACCTAACGAGCTGATTAGAAGAATTACCTTCTTTAACAGTATAAACCCACTTATAGTCAACTAGAGATTTATTTTTAGGTTTAGGCACTAAGCTCTAGGTCTTTTTCTTCCCTAAGGACCTTATTTCTTCCTTCATAATAAGTTGCCATTCTTTGGAAGACTGACAACTAATAGCCTCTTCATACGATTTAGGCTCCTTGAAAGTTAAATCCTGATATGACAACATAGCAAGTGAAAATAGTCATGCATCCTAATAGGCTCTCTTATTTCTCTTCTAACCCTATCTCTAGTTAACTGATAATCACCTAGAGGGTTTACTAACTCACCAGCATGTCCTTGAACTGTTTCATCACCTGATTCTTCCATAGTTCCATTTTCCTCTTGATTTTCAACTACAAGATCAGGTGAAGGTTCAAGTTCTATCTGTAGCCTAGTATTTTCTTCTTCCTAGCCCTTAGGCTCCTCACTTGAGGCTTTCCTATCTAAACAAGGCATCTCATTTTCATTGAAGGTCACATTCCTACTGGTTATCATCTTAAAACCCCTAATTTCTCTCACCTAAAGCCTGTACCCCTTCACTCCTTCAGGGTATCCCATAAAAATACATTTCTGAGATCTAGGCTGAAGTTTTCCTACACTTTGGTGTGAATATGCTGCACAACCAAAGGTTTTTAAGTGTGTATAGTCAGCCAACTTACCTGTCCACACTTCCTCAGGTGTCCTGCCATCTAATGCACTAGTTAAGGTCCTATTTATGATATAAACTGTTGTCATAATAGCCTTTCCCCACAACACTTTAGGGACACCCGAATTAAACATCATACATCTAACCTTGTCTAGGATTGTCCTATTCATCCTTTCAGCTATACAATTCTGTTGTTGGGTATATGGTACTGTTTTATGTCTTAGAATACCATCATCCATACACAATTTTTCAAAATTAGTATTACAAAATTTTAATCCATTATCTGTCCTTAGAATTTTAATCTTTTTATCCATTTGATTTTCAATCAAAGTTTTCCAAGTTTTAAATTTTCCAAAAGTGTCTATTTTTGTTTCAAAAGGAATACCCATACCTTTCTTGAAAAATCATCAATTAAGGATAAAAAATACATATTCCCACCTTGAGAAGTGGTGGATGATGGACCTCACAAATTAGAATGTATATACTCTAGGATAGATGTAGTCTTATGTTTTCCTGTACTAAAGTAAAGTCTATGATGTTTACCTAAGGTACAATATTCACAAAAAGGAATTTTAGAAATTACATCACTACCAAAAACACCCTTCTTACTTAAGATTTGTAAACCTTTCTCACTCACATGGGCTAACCTATTATGTCATTTCAATGTAGCATCACTCTTAGCCATAGAGGATTCTACAGTGTGACTTAAAATATTAGCCTTAGTTACATAAATTCCATTTCTTTTAATGCCCTTGAAAATAACTAAAGATCCTTTAACTATTTTCAAGAAACCTTCTCCAAATTTTCCTTGGAGATTTATGTCATCTAAGTTCCCAACTGAAATCAGATTTCTATTTAAATCTGGTACATACCTCACCCTTTCTAAGGTAAAGGTGTACCCATTATCAAATTTTAAAATCACACTGCCTATCCCCAACACTTTGCAGGCTGCATTGTTACCCATAACAACCTCACCTTCATCTAAGTCCTTAAAATCAAGCAACCAATGCTTTCTAGATGTTATATGAAAGGTAGAACCAGAATCTAAGATCCACTCTACACTCTGACTTGAATTATCTGCATAATTTGCAGAGTTCAAATCAGAGAAGGACTCAGTCACAACATAGACATCAATAGTACCCTCACCTAGAGGTTCAACAATATTCCCTTCATCAATTTTAACCTCTCTTTGCTCATTTTTCTTTTTAAAGTAGTCTTTAATGTAATGTCCTGTTTTTCCACAACCATAACATTTTCTAGCACCATTTCTAGACTTTGACCTTTGTATACCCTTTCCCTTCTTCCTAAAGGTATTATTTCCCTGATTACTTTGGTTACCTTGATTATTACTAGATCTGATTAGTGGTCTACCTCTTACAAATAGGTTCTCACTTTCCTTGCCATGTCTCTCACATCTAACTTTCAAATCCTTGCTTCTTAAAGTATCAATCACTATCTCAGGAGTCAAAGACTCTCTTCCATACTTAATAGCTGTTTGAACATCTTTATACACATCAGGTATGGAATTTAACAAAATTACAGTCTTATATTCTTTAGATACTTTATCCCCAGCATTAGTTATATCTTGTACTAGTCTATTAAAAGTGTCAAGATTAACATCTAAGTCTCGAGATATCAATTTTGAAGCTGAAAATTTTTTCCAAAAGAAATAGTTTATTTGGTAATGATTTTATCAAATAAAGTTCCTCAAGTTTATCCCATAAAGCTTTTGCATTATCCAATTTTCCAATCTTTCTTAATACTGGATCAGACAAGTGAAGAATAATGGAAGTATAGGCAAGATCATCAGATTCAGTCTTTTGTTCATCAGTCATAGTAGCAGGATATTCACCAGTTATAGCTTCAGACACTTTCTGTTGAACAAGAACCCCCCCCTCATTTTTTGCTGCCAAATGGGGAAATCCTCTTTTCCATTAAAAACCCCAAGTTCAAATGTTCCCATTGTCATTTGAAATTTTTAATCAATATAAGGAAAGCTTTTGAGGGTTAAAGTTCAACTAGAAGGAACAAGAAGATATTTCACAAGATGTATGACAATCACAAAGTATCACAAATAGTATGAAAACTATCAGGGGATATAACACAGTGAATATTAACAAAAAATAGTAACCAATCAGAGGAATAATAAACACTTCAAATATGCAGTGTTGTGTCTTGGGTTCACCAGGATTCCGTGAGGCTCAAAGACGTCAGGTCAAGGCTCAACCCAAAGAACACAGTAGTGCTGTGCAAATTATGCAAGTTTAAAGACAAATTATCAATTAACAGTCACCAAGATTAATATGCAGTATTCCAAAAACAAAGTATATTATGCAATATTCCAAAAATTTCAGAACGCAATCATCACAAGAAACACACAAATTCTTGACATGAAGAAATAAATCATGTATTTCAATTTAATAAAAAAATGAGTTAGATAATTCGATCGGCAGATTAAGTAGCACACAGGAAACTCAATTTCTTTCAAGCCAGTTCACAAAAGGGGATTTCGAAATCAATGTTTTCGTCTGCAAGAACCACCAACAACAAAGTTAGTTCACAAAGAAAAAACTCAAGAAATCATAAACCGAATCAAGATCCGTAGTAGATAGTTCGTCTCCCAAAAGATCCGGTCGTGAAAATTAATTTCTCACGACCGATCGTCGGAGACAGGGACTCGAACAGCATTTAAAGGCTCTAATACCATTGTTACAAGAAATCAGCTCAAATCGACTCAACAAATGACCGAAAACCCTCAAACCAAAAGCATCAAGATTTTCATCGATTTAGGCTCAGATTATGCATTGTACCCGTCTGTACAATGTTGAAAGCTCATAAACCACAATCCCAAAGAACAAACACAGAGGCAGTCACTACACTGGACCCAAAACCCTCAAACCTGAACAGGAAACTCTCGTCTAAACACAACCGAACAGTCACACAAACAGGGAGACCACACATTAGCCACAAAACCAGAGGTTTTATGGCTTAATCAACAGATTCATGAAGAAGGAAAAGAGGCAAAAGACACAGAGTCGTCCAAGAGAGAAAACCCAGAAGGTTCGAGAGAAAATATCACAAAGAGGCACAGAAAATATGACTCAAAATTAGGGCAAAATGTCTCAGACCTCATTTATATATTAATGGGTCATCACCGTAGATGTTAGGTTAAATAGATCAAAGGGTTCAGAGCGACACACGTGGATTATTTCATTTGGGCCGGGTTTCATTTGCTTTCAACATTGAATTATTGGGCAATGGGTTGGGTAGTATCTGTTAGACCTTTTAATATCATCATTGCCCAAATGGGTTGGACACACAAATATATATTTATGGCATCACAGTCCAATACAATCTAATGTTACAAACCATGCAAATAGCACAGCTTTTTGCTTCTTCACATGCGTTTGCAAACACAGACGTGTTCAAGCCACTTGTGAATGCAACATGAGCTCTAATTTTTAAGCGCTTTATAATTATATCCTCTGGCATCCCAGCTTCTTCTTGATGGAGTTGTCTGTTTATGAATGATTTCAGATCCTACAAGGTAGATTATTCAATTATTAACATTGACATATGTTCAACATCAATAAAATAGATTTGTGCAGAAGAATCAGTCAGTTAAGTGATCATTACTGCATCATTTAAGTTATTACAGTCCCAATCAGGGCGAGACTTCATATTTTTCTCCTCGAGGCGTGTCATCTTGGATGCCATTCTTTTTGCTTCCATGAATCTTTCAAGGCTCTGAAGAACCAAATAATCAAATCTTATATGTTTCTAAGAATATAACAGAATCCAAATTAAATCACAAAGACAAATCAACACGAACAATTTTGCATACACAAGACAAAATAAAATTACCTCTTGTCCTGCTCTCAAGTAGTCGTCGATTGATGTTTCCATAAGAGATTCAAGTTCTTCAACTGTTCGATCGTAGTGCCGTTCAAGGATGAAATCTCCTGCAGAAACAAGACGGTTTCTTGTCGCGTGTCCATGCCTCTTAAGATTCTATGATTACACATTGCGTGACTTGGGGTTGGAATCAAAATCATATCAGGCAAGTTGAAAAGAGAAAATTGAGATAATCTCTATGTCATCTTTTTTCAAAATGAAAAAGAAGTGAAAAAATAAAAATCAAGGCACATATAATAAAAATGGAAATGATACCCAAATGGGAGGCGACAAGTTCTCTCTTCCTGCACAAGAAAGAGACTATCAGGACTAAACCCACTAAACCAAATAAACAAAACATTGGACATCACACAATCAGCACATAAAAACAGAAAAGATGTCATAATAGCTATTCTACAATAACGGACAACTATAGAGCAAAAATGCACTGAAAGACGGATAAGAGTTGCAGAAGTTTGCCTATGCGCGCATCACATTATAATTAGTCTCCCACCTCAAAGTAATCTAAAAGTTCACAATGACTACCTAAGTTACCTAATGCATCACTCATTATAATTAGCATTGGAACATGCTGGCATAATAAACCAGCGAAATTGCTCAATAATTTTAGAATGCCAGCGGGAAGTAATATAATATACTGCAAAAATGGGTGATTGTCATAACCAGCCAGTTGAAGGAAGCACCTGGGAAGAAAGAAGAAGAGATCCCAAAAGTTCCGCTAGAATTTTGAATTCAAGACGACACCGTTTTGCCCCTAATTTAATTGTTTTGAGTGTAATACGTTTTATCACTTTGGGAACACGTTTTAGCCGTAGTATTTAAATCGTAGGAAAGCATAAGAAGTGTGTAGAAGGTGAGAACTGTCTCTTCATACCCAATCTCTCTGAATTTCCCTCGCTTCTTCTACCCTTTTCTTTGAACTTCTTTCCTTCTCTTCTTCTCTTTTAATTGTAATTTTGTTCCAACAAATAATACAATTACAACTTGGATTGTTAAGTCCCAGCTGACTATCTTTAGTTGTGAGTAAGTTGTGTTGATTTGGTTGGTTTTGGTTGAAGTTGAGCTCCAACCATTACAAGTGGTATCAAAACAGCTACGTGGTCTGGGCTTGGATACTCGAGCTAAGGATGTAGAGGAACATATAAAAAAATTGGACGGGGAAGTTGAAGGTCTCAGTGAAACTCTCCAAGGAATGAGCGATAGGGCAGAGATCTCAGATCAAACATTGAAGGCTTTGTGTAACAAGCATGACCGTATGGAAGTAATGATAGGGGAATTGAATTCTAAGCATGAATCGTTAGTAGCCGTGATGGCCCAAATGATGAAGCAAAAGGGGGAATCTAGAGACAAATAGAAAATGAGTTCACCAGTTCCAATTCACATTGGTGAAGGAATACTCACGTCATGCATGGTATCAACGTCTAGAAATAATACTAATGGGAGTGAGATGAGGGGAGTTAAGCTGCCTAAGATTGATTTCCCTTATTTTAGTGGGGAAGGGCCTAGAGAATGGTTGAGGAAGGCTCAAAAATATTTCCAGATACATCTAATTCCTGATGAAGTGAGGGTCAGTGTAGCAGAGATGTATTTGAAAGGAAAGGCGGATGTGTGGTTTCATGGATTCATCATGAGCAATCCCAATGTTGACTGCGAATTGTTCTCTGCAGAGGTGTGTAGGCGGTTTATAGAGTGTATAAGTGAAGAAGCTATAGAGACCTTCAGTAAAATCAGACAAAGAGGATCTGTGGCCGATTACCAGGAGCTCTTTGAGGATCTCAAATCCCAAGTGATGTTATCCCTTCCCCACCTTCCTGAGTCGTATTATATCTCCATCTTTGCTAGTGGATTGAAAGAGGAAATCAGGTCAATGGTGAAAATTATCAAACCAACCTCCATTTCCCAAGCTTTTGAAATAGCCATCTTGTAGGAAAGTACCATTCTAGCTCTCCACAAAAACACCAAAAACCCAACCAAACCCAATTATCAATCCAAAAGGCCTAACCCCCCACCAGGGCCCTTCGAAGCCAGTACAAGAATATCTCCCACCAATAACACTGAACAAATCCAAAAGAGCCAAAACCTTCCATTGAGATTCAAAACCATCACCCCCACAAATATACAAACCAAAAGGAGCCTGGGGTTATGTTTTAGATGTGATAATAAATACACCCCTGGACGTATATGTAGAAATAGGATGCTGAACTTCACGTTGGTGGATGATGAAATAAAGGGAAAGGTGGAGGATGAGGAGAATGTAACTGAGCAAGGTGAAAGGAATGAGAATGAGGCCTTAACAGGCAGTCTGAAACCAAAAACCATTCGAATCCCAGGCACGATGAAGAAGAAGAGGGTGTCTATCCTCATCGATAGCGAAAGCACCCATAGCTTTATTGACGAGAAATCAGTCAAGGAGCTGAGGTGTAAAACAGAATCCACTCAATCTGTGACAATTACTGTGGCCAGTGGAGACAAGCTGCACAGTACTGCCATATTAAACCCCTTACTTAGGCCATGCAAGGAATGGAATGCCAATTCCAGCTGAGGGTGTTGAGGTTAGGGGGGAGTGATATGGTGTTGGGAGTAAACTGGCTAAGCCAGTTTAACCCTGTGGAATTTAACTAGCATCAGATCCTCTTACCAAGGGATGAAGGTGGAATTAAAAAGTGAAGCCATGAGTGAAGAATTTTTTATGATGGAAGGGAGACTGATGAGCCAATGGATACACAGGTAACCTTATGGCATTGTAGCTCAAATCCAATCAATTAAAGAGGAAGAAAAGGGCCAAATTCCCACCGAGGTGCAAGATATTCTTAAGCAATACCCAGATATATTTGCAGAACCAAAAGGAATGCCCCTTCCCAGGTTTAATAATCACATGATACCCCTAAAGGAAGGAGCCCAGCCTTTTAAAATAAGGCCATATAGATGCCCTTATGTGCAGAAAACTGAAATGGAGAGGATGGTGAAAGAAATGTTGGAGGTAGGGATCATCCAACGTAGCAGTGGCCCTTTTGCCTCGTTAGTCTTGTTAGTGAAGAAAAAGGATAGGACTTGGAGGTTTTGTGTGGATTACAGGCAATTAAACAATTTAACTATCAAGGACAAATACCCCATGCCCTTGATTGATGAACTTCATGACTCCAAATGGTTTTCCAAAATTGATTTGAGGGCTGGATACCACCAAATTAGAATGTCAGACAATGATATCCCTTAAACAGCATTCAAGACACACCAAGGTCTATATGAATTTAAGGTGATGCCCTTTGGCCTTACCAATGCCCCAGCAACCTTTCAAAGCTTGATGAATGAAGTTTTTAAAGTTTACTTGAGGAAGTTTGTACTAGTTTTCTTTGATGATATTTTGGTATACAGTCCTGACTTACCATCTCATTGTGAACACTTGTCAATGGTGTAGGAAGTACTAAGGAGTCAGACACTATATGCCAAGGAATCAAAGTGTTCCGATAAGTGTGTTTTTGCACACTTATTTAGGTCACAAACATAACTTAAATACGAGCAAAATGATTGAATTGTGACTTAATTTTTTACATTTGTAAATTGTAGGAAACAACGATGAACATGGTGAAATTCAGGAGAAAAGACGCGAAAAATGACTAAAGTGACAGAAAGTGAAAGTTCAGGGACCAAAAGTGCAAATATCCAAAAGTTGATCCAATGAACAAATCGAGAAATTGATTAGACCAATTACTAATTGACGATATCGTGGGGTGATGAAATGAAAAGAATGAAGAGAAGATGCTAAGGAGTGAAGAATGCAAGTGGGAGGACCAAAACGCAACTCTACCATAGTTGATAGTACTATGCGACCGCATAGTATTATCCTCTATGCAGTCGCATAGTACCATACTGAAAGAAAATAGGCTTGAAAAAGTTCTTCTATGCGACCGCATAGAATTGCTCTATGCAGTCGCATAGAACAAAAAGTTGAAAAAAATTTGGTTTCATTTTTCTTCCGAAACTCTTATGGAAACAAGATTTTAGGGTCCTATAAATACAAAAACACGACCAGAACGAAAGGGATGCCATTTTTACATGTTTTTGGGAGATTTTGAAGAAGAAACAAGGGAGAAGATAAGAGATAAACATCGCGCCAATTGAAGATCGGAGTGAATATTGATTCGGGTGATGTCGTTTCTTCAAATACTTTTAAGTTTTGTTCTTTTTAGCATGTTAGGCTAAATTTATTACTACTAGGAGATCGATGAACCTTGTAATACCAAGTTTAATTGTTGTTTTGGATTTTTGACGTATGTAAACACCAATTTCGGAATTGATTGATTTATTTCGTTTTTATTTTTATATAATTATTGTGCACATGATTATATTATTGTGGTGACCTGTTTTATGCATTTGAAAGAAGGAAAATAGGTTTGACATAGTATAAATCATCATAGGGTCCGATAGAGGATAGAAATATACCTCTATGCCTTGTGTGAATCATTGGATATTCATGAATTATAATGCATGTCGGTATATTAGTATTCGTCCTAGAAATATAGTCGAATCATAGATTGGGATAGGTTTGGCATTGCTCGAGAGAGATTGCTAAATTAAAATAAGAATATCGATTCATCTTTTGTGGAATTGTGTGTCAAATTTGCATAAATAAATGACTATTAAACGGGTATTGCTTGGGGATTCGTGATCCTAGTGTGTTAGCACATCCGTCAATTCTATAAAATTCTAGTTAAATTGCATCCAATTTATTTTGAACTCAGTATAATCCTTAGTCAATAATTGCATTCCATGATTACATTTTGTTAGTAAGGTACAAAATCGCCATTTGGTTGTTGTGTTTCGGTTAAGGTCATATTAGATTAATTCAAAGTAATTCAATTCTCGTGGGATCGATACTTAGATTTATAGTCCATTTTACTACTTGTTAACGAACCATACACTTACGGTAGTTTAAAATTGAAAGGAATAATTTCGCGACCATGTTCTTTTGGGAAACCAAAGGCTGAGTACTTGGGGCACATAATATCAACTGCAGGGGTGTCAGCTGACCCATAGAAGATAAGTGCTATGCAACAGTAGCCTAAACCCAACACTGTGAAACAGCTAAGAGGATTCCTTGGGTTGACAGGCTATTACAGAAAATTAGTCAGAGTATATGGGGTGCTAGCTAAACCCTTAGCAGATCTTCTCAAGAAGGATAATTTCAGTTGGAATGATGAGGCTGAAATAGGCTTCCAAGCATTAAAGGCAACAATGTGTAACATCCCAGTCCTTGCATTATCGGACTTCAACCAACCATTCATAGTTGAGATAGATGCTTGTGCTGGGGAAATGGGGGCAGTTCTGAAGCAAGGGAAGAGACCAATTGCTTATATGAGTAAAGGCATAAGCAAGGAAAAGTTGGGATTGTCCATTTATGAGAAGGAGTTACTAGCACTGGTCACCGTCGTGGGGAAATGGCGACATTACCTTGAAGGCAACCATTTCATAATCAGAACTGATCATTAATCATTAAAATACCTCTAGAACAGAGGATCACCACACCTCTCCAATAGAAGTGGCTAACCAAAC